AAAATGGGTGCCTAATTAGGATCTGCCTAATCGCTATCAAGGGAAACCGTGATCGTTAGGGGGGGGGGGTCTCGCCCCCCCTCGTCCCCCCTTGGATTCGTCCCTATGGAGTACCATTTTCCCTTTCTCAACATCACCGTTGGGGTACTGCTGGATGCACAATAGCGAACTGATATATCCATGCAAGAACCGGCGAGAGGACTCAATTGGAGGTGGCCATTTTTCATGTTTGATCTCGTCCCGTACGTACCAAATCCTCCACATGATCATCAGTACGGCCATATGCATCGTCTCGTCCAGAGACTCGAGGAGAGTGAAGAGCCATTCTGGCCCTGAGTTGCAGATGGCTTCAACCCTCGGGATGTGCCAATCGAGCCCCATGGCATGCCATAGTTCCTTCACAAGGGGCACCTACACATCGCATGGAACCCGTCCTCTCGTTCCACAACACAAATGGGACATATGCGAGACGGTGATGTGTTTTGGCTATCAAGTGATGTGTTTTGGCTATCAAGTGATGTTCCACAACCTGTCCTCTCGTTCCACAACACAACGGTGATGTGTTTTGGCTATCAAGTACGTTCAGATTCTTCGCCAAAGGAAAAACACAAATACACACAACGGGAGCACAGTGCGCCACTTGATGTGTTGGCTAGCAAGTAGCAAACTGGACCTTGTCGCTTCTCCCGTATGCTAGAGCACCAGCTGCCTCTTCCACCCTTTCTCCTTTGCCCTCCATCCTCAGTCCTCCACCATAACGATGGTTGACCTCGTGGTGGAGATCTAGCTCGCACGTCTTATTTTTTCTTTTTTCTTTTTTCTTTTTTTGCAGGGAAAAGGAGGTTCTCATTACTCAAGGAGGCTTCTCAACCATTGTCAAGTTTACAACGAAATCTAATCCCGAGTGCAACCATACGGCAATACAGGGGGTGGTATGGCCGGCAAGTTCATGGCTAATCTTATTCTGCGAACGACAACAAAGAGCAAATAAAATCTCCCTATCCTCAGATGAGGCCAGCTGCTTGATCTTCGTGACCAAAATGCGGATGCATTGAGCGACACTCTGATTTCGTTGTGAACAGCGATACCGCCTCTGCGCCATCGAGCTCGGCCATGATGGGCATCTCCGTCCGACGGAGGGCCAGCTCCAGCCCCTCCCTACACGCCACTAGCTCGGCGCCCAGCGCATTATCGCATGTACGAATTTCACGACAAGCACTGAAAATAATTTCTCCATGAGTATCCCGAAGGATCATCCCACCTCCTGCCATACCTGTGGCCAGGATGAAGCTCCCGTCCGTATTTAGCTTCGTCCAGCCCGGGCCAGGGGCAACCCAGCTCAGCTCCTTGCTGGTCATAACGGTGGCTTTATAGGCTAGCTGGTTGGTATGACGGAGCCAGGAATTTTGTATAGGGGGGGGTGAGTTCCACACTTACGCTCGCTTACGGACTAATGAGCACTTGTCAAGTGGAAAAACAGTTTAAAGTATGCAAAAAGCATAGGCCTAAAATCAGGCTTTCACTGATGCAAACACTAAAAAATACTACAAAATTATTGTTTTTCTACAAAAAAATAGTTTTCGAATTTGCTATATAGAAAATTTTAGTGCATGGTACTAGAACGAGTTGGTTCCGAATCTAGTTTTCGAGTCAATCAATCATTCATACAGACAACAAAAAACTGAGATTTGAAACTGAGGCTAACTGTCAGAGTGGACTTACCATATAGGCATATTATTGGATGTGTGGTATGTTGTCAGATCCGTGGTTTCTCTTGGTGGATGGTGCTTTCCCTAATCCTCTTTATGCTGGCAGATGATGATATGATCGATTGTAGATTGAAGCTTTAATGGTTGGATGCAAATGCCCATAGACAACTTTTTCTCATTGTTCTCTTCCTCTTCTTATCTACAGAAATAGAATTAGACAATCAAGCATTTCCTAATTAACTTCTAATGTTTGTAGATTTTTTAATGGCACAGCAGCGCAGATTTTAACAAAATAAAAATCAAGAGACAAGCAAGGAGTTAGGGTTAACCAGCACCTATGCAGCCATGCTAGACCTTAATCAGTCCCCTTCTGATCTTTTGCTTGATGGCTGGAGAAAATTCATCTTGGCGGCGGTAGGCGGAGACTCTAGCAGACGATGGGTAGGAAGGTCGCACGAAGCCATGATCTGCGGTCAAATATGTCCATCGAACTGCCAGGAAACAAAGGGGCTGCGTGTGCTTCTGCTGCCTGCTGGGCTTCGCGTTTGATATTGGGCTTTTTTCCTTCGCTAGTAGTCTGTAACTATTGTACATGGGCTGGGGCCTGGGGAGGAGTCCTGAGGAGCTTCACGATGCCGTCACACAGG